CTCTCTCTCTCTCTCCTGTTATTACATATCATACTAATGTTTTAATACCAACTGCAGTTGGTACCTTTGGGTGTGTTTGTGGTTCTATTCTTGTTGGTGAATGTATATGGTGAGATATTCTATTTACATATCTTATAAGCTTGAGCACATAATAACCCAATTAGGGAAAGAAGTTGCCCAAAGACGCACGGCAGTCACTGGTGATTTAGTCGTCAATCCTTCAGATGACCACTTCTGGTTCCACAGGCCTCGTCTTGTCCTTGTGCTGATTCACGTGATTCTGTTTCAAAACGTGTTCGAGATTGCTATTTTCTTCTGGATGTTGGTAATTCATTTACCCAACATTGTTCGGTTGACTAGCAAGCTACAGCTAACTACGTACCGATTGTTTTCTAACTAACGGAAACTGTGTATGATGATAGGTGATGTTTGGTTTCGACTCGTGCATTATGGGTAAAATTGGTTTTATCGTTCCTAGACTAGTCATAGGGTAAGAATCACGATGTTTTTTTTTTTTTTTCTTTTGTATTGTTCGGAAGTTTTAGAAATGCAAAAAAGAATATTCAAATAGAGGAGTTTATGATTTTCTGCGGGGTGTTTGTGCAGTTCGTCTGCAGTTATAGCACTCTACCGCTCTACGCCATCGTAGCTCAGGTTAACTACCGTTTATAACGCTGTTAAATAAATTTTGTGTAATGTGAATAGTTTGAACTTCTTATAACTTCTATTTATCAAACATTCAATGTAGATGGGAAGTTCGTTCAACAGTGCAATATTCGAGGATCATATACAAGAGAGTTTAGCAGGTTGGGTGAAGAAGGCAAAGCGTGACAAGGGACCAAAGAAGGCTGTTGGTGCCGTTTCTAATTATCACGACTCGCCTTCTCCACAAAGGGTTGAGATGAAAGAGATCCAAGTGAAGGTTGATACAAAGGAACAAAAGGGCAAAGAACCAGAAATCGAGCCATCTGTGTAACTCAACTGAGCCTAATGTGTCTTTTTCGCAAAGTTTTCGAAGAAATGAATGAGTTGTGAGGCAGAAAAGTCTGTCACATTACAGTGATACAGCTGGTTTATAATGTTTTCTGCAAATTTGATCATTTTTTTTTCATGCATATGCTAAAACACAAATATACCTGTACTCATGCGACCAAAAAACGCAATTATCGTTGTATTAACCAGAGTATATCATCTAATCCAAATGTTCGACATCTGACTCAAGAACAATGGTAAAATCAGTCGAAACATTGATGAGAGTACAAGTACACACGAGGACAAACTTCCTGGTAATCAAAACTGAAACTGGCTATTAAAAAAAAAAAAACATGGCATGTGTCTCAAAAGCCACTGCTGTATAATAAGTAGAATACAATAATAGTTGTTTCCAAATCATAATTTCACTGTGGGACAAAATTTGACAACCATTGCAAGAAAAGTTTTCATTTTGCTCTTGTCAAAAAACGCACTACCAGCTGCTTAATTGCTTTTGGATCTTCGAATTATGAGACGATCTCCCGCCTTTGTCCTTGTAGGTATTTCTTGAGGTTATAATCTTCCTCCTCCCACGGGCTGCCTGGATGGCTCGTTGACGTTGTTTGCTTAGACGCTTCTCAAGTTCAGGGTCATCATCTTCTTCTGAATCTTCTTCATCCTCAGCATTATTGTCCTCACGCTTAACCAGTCCATTTTCGAGGGCCTCAACACCAGTTTGGCTATTATGTTCATCGGAGGTATTATTTTCTCGTATATGATTCTCTTGAGATGCTTCGGGTAGATCACCTCCCTGAAAGCACAAAGTATTGTCTTTCAAGAAGCCAGACTACGATTTCAGAACATAATTAAAAATTGATAGTTAAAGAGAATAATAGATTGAGAGATTTTCACTGCCACCATGAATCTGTTTTACAGGATTCGGTTCAAACCAACCAACAGCTAGGAAATCAATATGAAAGGATGTTTATGATCGTCAAATTTTAACACGTTCACACATTTTCGTTGAAAGTGCAAAATAAAAGGCTTCAAGTCTCAATCTAAAAGGATGTGAAACTTTACCTCTCCAACCAGGCTCAAGGACTCAATATTCTTCACGCTGGCACCGTTCACCGGGCAAGCAATATCTTCATCTTCAGATACTTGATCATCAGATCCCTGATCTTTACCTAAATCCCCATCAATAAACTGTGGACAAAGACCGAAAAAAGAAGTCATTTAAGCAGCTAAAACTTAAATATTTTAACACCAATTACCATCAACAAGTCCATAATGCAACTCAAACTGATAGTATCACCAACATTTCAATGTGGCACAGATCGAATTGATATTTTGGTAGTTTATGGAGATAGCTCTGGATTTGTATAGATAAAATTAGTACTATAGGCAAAATGGTAACACTGAAATTGGTGCAGATCCAAAGAGAGGTGATGTGATCCATTAAGCTTTGGATCATGAAGGACTCTTTATCCAAAAGCATCGGTGCTGTGGTTTGAAAATTTTAATTTTTAACCCTGAGAATAAAATGCAATTTCTAGCAACTTCATTGGGAAAGAAGCTTGTTATGAGGAAGTTGAAACTTTAAAGTTGCACCTGTTCTATGTCATCTTGATCTTTCCTCGTGAAACCACTGGCTTCAAGTTCCTTGTCCAGACAACCAGTAACTTTCTTTATTTCAGAAAACTGAGGTCGGCAACTTTCTTCTGAATCTACATCTGAGTCATCAGACTCAGCTTCATTTTCGTCAAACGAGAGGTTGAACCTAACAAGTATTGAAAGAGCCAAGTAAGCTTTTCAATGTAAAGATATGCAAATTCTTTCTTCTCCTTCCTTCTTCTTTCACCCTAAGTTTTCTCAGACAGCGGCCAATAACTACATTCTGTTACATAGTCAATATTTAAACTTTTTTTTGTTTTATTTTATTTTTTGGTACATCACTCAGGATTTAAAATCTGTCAGCCTATCACACAATGAAACTAATGACAGAAAGGCTATTACTTAGTTTGTTTTTATACAAGAACATCATTGCATCTATCACATATGCATTAAGAAGAGAATTTCAACTAGGCCTTTTATTTTTTCTAGATTATGCTTAAAAAATATCAAATAAGGAGACCTGAAAATGAACTATTGTCAGACGGATAGGGAGAGGAAATGGAAGAAAAAGAAAGACTCTTTTACTCATTTTCCTTATCAAAACTTTTCATTCGCTAATGAAAACAATTCACTCACCTCTTTCTAAAGAACTTAAAGATGCATTCAATATCACGGTCGAAGTACCTGGAAAAACAGAAATTAGTAGCAAGTCTGAAGAAAATGCCTTCTAATGTTAACATGGCTCATGGAAAGAAAGGGAATAGGTAAACACATCATACATCTTCGCATTTCGATGTGAAACTGAAACCATTTGCGGAAAATCAATCATGGTGATCTTCTCATCATCATCAATCTGCCAAAAGAAAATGACTTGAAGAAAATCGCATTACAAAGTTCACAAGGGTTAATAGATACCGTGACATTTCAGAAGCAGCAGAAATAAGTTGTTAGCTAGCAAAATAAGCATGTATTATGTACGCAGGAAAAATTCCTGACAACTGCCAGCCACTGGGGTATTGGAAGTCGAGGTTATGGTGGGTTAGAAAATCATAATGACATGATTTTAAATGGGCACAGTAGCATACCATAATGTTGAATTCGTTAAAATCACAGTGAATGAGCCCATGCTCTGCAAGGCGAACGACAATACCAAGTATTGTTTCAAAAACTGTATCTGGATTTGACAATTGCTTCACCTGAACACTGAATTGAACAGGACAATCTTGTGTTATAATCCAAGTACCCTCAATGAATGAGAGAAAAGATTGAGTTATTATAGAAGAAATAGAGGTGTCCTGATTTTTCAACTCAGTGAATGAAAGAAAAGATTGAGCTATTAAAGAAATATAGGTGTCATGATTTTTCATCTCTTGAAATGTGTGCAGCTCAGTACAGAGTAACTTTACCAAGCAGAAAGGATAGCTAGAGAACAGCGACATGGATATCAAGCAAAAGGAAGAAAATACAATATTTTATTTAGGGATCCATCACATGCACACCAGTTCTCATATTATTACCACTGAGACTATGGTAATATGTACACAGCCCCTATGTTGGAAATTCAAGTCTGACAATAAAATTGCCGTAATTAACTCCCAACTTTGCAGTTTGATAGAATACTCACTGAGAGTAAACTTTTTCCCATTATATTTAGTTTGAGGGGTATTTCAGGAATGACAATAACATCGATAATCCCTGACATGCAATTTGATAGTATATGACAGGGCATCTGGTAAATCACAAGACACATTATTCAATCTCCCTCTCATGGAAAAACATATTTCACTTTGTCTGTACCTTCTTCCAACCCTATAGAAACTTGAAACAAGAATCCAAGACACACAAACTTTCCCATTTTCAAATTCAACAGATCACAATAATTTCGAACTAGAGGCTGAATAGCTGATGGATCAGTGAAAATGGAAAGCATTGATATTTTATCTATCTGCATAGCACAATAAAAGATAACATAGAGGAAGTCAACTATAATCTAGAACTAGGCATTTACTTCACATTTTCACAGAACAAGGAATAATGTAAACCAGTTGCACACATCATATATTCAGCAGCATTGCAAATGTCATTACATGGTGAAGTAATAACAGAACAAGAATACTGTAGGCATACTAAGAAAGCATATATAGCTCCAAACTTACAGTGGATACCCTTGGACGAGTGACATTACAACACAATGCCGATTGCAATCCACAGCATGTGGAACAGGAAAACCATGCTCATCCAAAGCCTGTCCACCAAGAACCCAACAGCAGTAAAATTATATGACAGAAGAAACAGCACCATTCTTTTTCTCAATAATAAATGAAGTAGCAAATCGAAAACATATATAGTAGTCAAACCTTCATAAAAGCGAACTCTTTGAGAGCAGCAAGCCGTGACAAGTACAGCCAATTAAAGCTACTACGATGCCTCAAATAATCACGTTTCGACTTGACTGCCCTGAAAGATGTCCGACCAAGTCTGTGTAACTTCATGGCAAGAACTGTACCATCTTCTGTAGCAACTTCAAATATATCTTCAAAACAGAGAAACATAAATCAAGAAGATTTTGTGGATAACGAAAAAAAACGTGCAACAGAAAATCAAAGTCAGTAAGGCACTCATACCAGACTCCTTCCCGACACCAATTTGACGACCAACCGCAGTAAACACTCCTCGGTTTACCAATGTCTTAATTGCAAGAAAATCATAGCCCAAGTATGTAAGCCTGAACCCATCATCTGTACCAAGAATACCATACAAAATTCTTATTTACAGCTGTAAGTAATCAAGAAAATAGAATTTAGATATCTTTACAAGGTGAAGAACATACAAAAGAAACTTAACGAGTTCAAATGATAAGATACGGATCAAGCTGAAAAGGCTTAATCTTGATAGTAAACAGTAAAAACTCAGCTTTCTTTTTTTTCCCTCTATTTTTCTTGAAGCGTAGAACTAACATTTGGCTGAGTCATGATGCAAGAGCTTGTGCTTCAGCAAATTCTTCAGAACTTTATAAGTGCCGCCATGCCTGTAACCCATCATATACAGAGACCAAGCGAAAACCTTCATTAGAATAACTGATGATTTAATCAGTAGTAAAACAGCCAAAAAGTGTACCAAAACCAAAAGAGAAAGCTCACTTGAGAGACGCAATTCGATCTATCAACTCGGACGGCACAATCTCATGCTGAAAGCATCAATCGAGGAAATTAATTACATATAATCCGAACAAATGGTGCCGATTGTTAATTAAACAGAAAGAATTGGCAAGCGTCAAAAAA